GCACCGGACCAGAGCTAGAAGCGTCGAGTTAAGCTCTTGTTTTGTCAAGCCAACCTTTGTGCCTTACTTCGAGGTTCCAAATCCGTTCAAGCCACAGTTGTTTTGGGGTGTTTCAAATTCACCCCTTTTGTTTCTGTTTTGTAATAGATGAATAAGACTCGACTGTACAGTTATGTTTTAGGGATTTGGTCCCTAAACTAGATGTCATGTGTATATGACGTATGTATATATGTTTTGGTTATGAATGTGGCTTTGTTCATAAAAGTCTTTTTGCATTCAGGTTTCATAGCTCATTGGACATCTTTTATTTACTGTTTGGTTTCCGCCAGCCCTTTTATTCTGTATTATTGTTATTCCTGTTAAGCAGGCCTTTGGTAATCACGGATTACTGGTCAGTTACGAGGCTAAACCTATAGGGGCGGGTTTGGGTCGTGACAGGTTGTTGCATCTCCAAGTAAGAAGTTACATGGAAGTGCAAAAGATGATTCCGATGAACTGGTAAATCTGACGAAAGTTGAGGCGAAGATCGGTGCTTCAATTTTATTTTATTTTACCAGTTCTTCAAGACTCCCTGTGAAGGGATTAGATTCCTTTTTTTTTTTTTTTTGGCTTGTAGATCTGTTTGTTGTTTTTTTTTCCTTTGCTCAGATCTCCTTCTAGTTGTTAATGATGATAAAAAAAATAGATTGCAACAAAAATATTTTTTTAAAAAAAAATGATAGATAGGACAGATTTTAAAAATAAAAAAATTGTTCGTGCTTCAATTGTTGTTGTTGTTTTGATATTGTTATTGCTGTAAATTATTTGAACTGATAAAGAGCTTGTTTAGGAAGAAAATTTTTTAGGCTTTTTGGTTAAAATCGTCTCAAAAAATAAAATAGGTTTTTTAATCAATAAGACAAAACAATACATCTAACCTATAATCATTATATTTTTTCTCTCATAAAAGTCAAAAAAATATCCCAAATAAGACTTTTTAATCTCAAGTTAAAATATCTAAAAAGTCAAAAAGCTAACCTATATCCCAAACGAACCCAAAAACATTTTAACAGATTAGTCTCTATTCCCTCTCTATGTATATCACAATTTAAACTGATAAAAAAAAAAAATTAAGTAGATAGAAAAAGGGTAAATTACAAATACATCTCTAAGGTTTGATTAAAATACAAATTGCCCTTGTGGTTTTGGAAATTACATTTCACCCCCCGAAGTTTCTAATTTCATAACAAATCATTCATTTTATTAATAAATCATCAAGTTAATTAAAAGTTTTTAACGATGTTAGAAATATATTTCAATTAATAATTTAGGTAATTTTATTATTATATAGGAAAACAATTATGAATTTCATTGTTTTAGTTAATTCTGTTAAATAAAAAATACTAACAATGTGGTATTTGTAATTTTTCAAACTATGGAGGGCAATATGTACGATAAACAAATCTTAGGGGGTGTATTTGTAATTTACCCTTGAAAAAAAATAGGTTTGTGAAATTCAATAGATAAGGAAAATAGGCTTTGTGAAATTCAATAATAGCAAGAATTTCAACAGATAAGGGGAAAAAATTAAACAGATAATAAAAAAATTGAACAGATAGAATTTTTTTTGAATAGATAAGTAAGAATTTTGAACATATAAGAAAAATTTTAGACAGATAGTAAAAAAATTTGAACAGATAGTCAACGAAAGTCAACAGATAAAAAAAAAGCTAACAAATAAATTAAGGGGTAAAATTGAAAACAAAACATCCTTCAAAACAAGATAAAAAACTTCTCACTAAACTATTTTACAAAAGCTGAACTTCTCAAATATCCATTGGACCTAATGACTTTCGACCTCCTTAGATTGGATTTATCACTATTTTACTCTTTTGACTTTTCATTCAATAAATGAAAATAAGCAAGATATATGATTTCATTTTGTATAAAAAAATTTATAAGGCAATTCTTAAGTGTGCAAGTGCATATCATTTGTATTTGCATAAATTCTCACAAATAAACGTAATTTATCTCACAAAATCGCGTAAGTTATTACAAACATACATAAATTAATCCATAAAAATTTGAAAAATCACAATTTACGTATATTTGTGAGTAACTTACGCAATTTTATAAGGTAACTTATGTATATTCGTAAAAATGTAAACAAATATATATGGGTTATTATGGGAAATTAGTTAAAAGCTGACTTTTTAATTTTTTTTTTGATTTTTTTTGAAAAAATGTGTGAAAAAATAGAGAGATAATGTGATCTAAAATAAGTTAAAAGCCAATTTATAGGGGATTTTGTTTTTTAAGGTCCCTAGTATTAAGATTTTATAATATAAAAGACATTCAATATTTTTATAATGTCAAAGGTCCCTCGATATTGATCCAAAGAAAATTCGATCTAGAGAATTTCTCTGGACTTCCCAGAGGATTTCTCTCCAGAGAAGAAATTATCTGGGAAGAATCTCTCTAGAGAAATTCTGGAAAGACCAGAAAATTTCACTAGATTCCAGTCTACAGATTTTCTCTGGATTTCCAGAGAATTTCTCTGATTTTCACAAAAATTTCTCTTGGTTCAAACTTGAAAAGTTTTCTGTCGTTCCAATCACGATATGTAATACACAAAATCGATCACCTAAATAATCAACAATAACAACCAATATATATATATATATATATAAAGAGAGACTGATTGACTAAAACGATAATTTCTCTAGGTTCAAACCAGAGAAATTCATAGAAATTGAAATTTCTCTAGTTTTGTTCATAATTTTCTTTGACTTTGTTCACAAAGAATTGAAATTTTTCTGGCTTTGTTAACAGAGAATTTCTCTGGCTTTCTCTAGGTTTAAATCAGAAAAAATTGAAATTTCTCTGAGTTCAAGTTAGAGAAATCCAGAGAAAATTGAAACCGTTAAAGATATATACAATATGTATCAATGAGGATTTTGAAAGAGAGAGATCTAACCAAGGACATATATGAGGCAACCCCTCAAGTCCGCACTATAAAGTCTTCATCAGCTCACATAATGCACGACATTTTTGGCATAACTTGTTCAATCTGTTGGCTTATTTGCAACTATAAGAGTAGTGCATTCATGATGGTTTTAAGCTTCACATCTTCCATATCTCTAGCATAGATCTTTGGATTTTTAACCATTTTAAACTCGTGTGTGACATCTTTGGATTTTTAACCATTTTAAACTCGTGCGTGACATTCATTTCTGATCAGTGATTACCCAACTATCAGCACTGCATATTGGGGATAATTGCACCCTCATTGTGAAATATCAAACATCAAGACTTGTTTATGCCTATTAATTTTGATTCCATAATCTGTCTTAGTAAAATCTTGTAGCTATCTTTTGTATGTTCCTTTTTAGGTACAATTTGCAATTCAAAGTAGAGTACAAACACATCAAAAGGATCTAAATGTTTAAGGATCTCTAAGCTCAAATTCAATGGTGGACTAACAAAATTGAAGCTCTCTGTTTCTTCAGCTGTCGCTGAAGAAACACCCACACCTACTAAGGCACTCTATCTCTCACTCTCTCTCTTTCACTCCAACAATGGCGACACCAAAACGGTGAAATCTGGTCGATTCTTACTTGTAGAGGCCTCAGATCTCTAATCGAAGGAGATTTGAGGAGAGAGATCTACGAAGAGAGAAAGACTTGTAGATCTAGTGTGACAGTGCTGAGCAACTTTCAGAACTAAAGAGAGAGAGAGAGAGAGACGGGACGTCGAATGTAGCAGCAGAAATGTGGTAACGACAAGAGAAGTAGCAGCAGAGATGACAGAGAAAGAGAATAAGAATATGTGAGATATATGGGGTCGGTAAAGACCTTAGACATCAGAAAATAATATTGTAGATTTCTCTCATTACTAAAAATAGGAGAGAGACCATAGACTAATTTTCTCTTTAACTTTTAACCATATTTTCAAAAGAGCCCATATTATGGATCCTAGACATTCAAATACTTTATTTTTTTATATGTATCATTACTCATAGGGCTGCAAATGAGCCAAGTGTATGTTTGGGCTTGTTTATTAAGATTTTAACAAACTCGAACTCGAGCTCAAGCTCCAGCTCAATAAAAATTTAACGAACTAAGCTCGAGCCGAGTTAGCTTAAGCTTGACTCGAGCTCGAGTCTGTCCATAAGCTTTAACAAACCAAACAATTTATAAATTTTACTTGCGTGTAAGACTAAAGTTACAATTAAAATTTTGATTATATAATTATATATACAAAATATATAAACATTGTAAAAAAATAGTCAATATTTTATCAAAGTAATAATATCTACTACCACTATTATATAAATATTCGATCTATAGTTAACTATTATTTACATTTATATTTTTTGAATATATAAATAACATATTTATCTTATTTTTTATACATATTTTTACATTATTTAATATATAAATAATGAATGTTAAACAAGCTAACTAATGAACAGAGTTTTAAAATGTTTAGATTTGTTTAGTAAAAAATTAACGAGTTTAAGTTCGAACACAAAAGAAAATTTAACAAATCAAATTTGAACGAGCTCTTACCAAGCTCAACCCGACCCTATTCGCAAACGACGCTACTAATTTGTAACCCTAATTACTCATAATAATTCAATAGAGAAAAACAACTAAAACTTTGTAATATATTTTAATCATCTTTCAAAAGCACCCCCTATTATGCATCCTAGACATTCAAATACTTTCCTTTTTTATATGTATCACTACTCATAATAATTCAGTAGAGAAAAACAGCTAAAACTTTATAACTTATTTCATATTATATGATCCCAGATCCATGAAAAGAGATCAAGACCAAGAGGAGTTGCCACGTGCAGGTCTGAAGAGATCTTATAAAAAAAAATCCAACAAACGACAAAAAGAAGAGAGAGAAGAGTCAGCCGCCGGCACCGACAGTGCTTTCCGGCGGACAACCACCAGGTTATGAAGCTCAAATTAGCCACATTGGAATCACAAAAAGACTATAATACCCTCGAATACTATAATATGGACCAATAATAAAGGATAGAAGTAAGGGCAATTCAGTAATTAGAGAGCAAAATTCAACTTCCACTATGTTGAATGACCGAAATAACCTCAAAATTGCCAACAAAAGTCAAGGGTATTTCTGTAATTACAACCACCCACCATGCCCACCTTCTTACACATCTCCTATACGTAAATGTACTGAACAAAAACAAAAATACAAAAACAGAATCAAATAAAATCACAATAAAAAAACAAAATCAAAGCAGATCGATTACTACTACTACTCGCCGGAGTCATCCTCGCCGCCGAAGATGGAGAAGCGGTTGTAGAGGAGGAAGAGGACGATGAAGAGAACGAGGGCGACGCCGACGGGCGAGCCGCCGGCCCGGTGGATGGAGTCGGGTTCGCCGGTGGAGAAGATGGAGGAGATGACGGAGCCGCCGGAGTCGGAGGAGAGGAAGTGGATGACAAGGAGGAGGGCGATGGGGAGGAGGAGGAGGCCGACGGGACTGAGGAGCTCGGCGATGAAGCCGGTTATAGCTTCACCTTGGTCGCCGAGCATGGTCGGAACCACCATCAGCAACACCACCACCACCGCTAAGAGGACAGCGTACGGTGGCCCTTGGCGTTCTTCGATCATGATTTTGGGTGAATGTGTGTTTGTGTTTTTGCTTTTGGTTGGTTTTTTTTCACCTACGCTTCTCTCTCTTTATTGCGTGTTTGTGTTTTCTGCTTTTGGTTTTTGGTTTTGTGAGGAGTAAAATAATAAGACGAGGAGATGGTACTGTGTTGATATAAGGGGCGGTTGGGACGCGCTTGTTTGAAAATCATCATTTCCACACACCCTCGTCAAAAAGGAGAAGAAACATGTTTTGTAATTTTATATTTGAATAAATTACAAATACATCTTACGTGGATGTTTGGAAAATTGTTAAGTATGTTGTTTTAATTTTTAGTTATTTTAATAGGTTAAAATATTTATATTTAGAAAGATGGTTAGATTTTTTTATACTTAGATATAATGTTTGTGAGAAAAAAAGTAAAATGATTATGGATTTAATGTAATATTTTGCTTTATTAACTATTTTAATCTATTTTGTCTTTTTTGTGAATTTTAGGTTAAAAAGCAAAAAAATTGCCTTTACCAAACAAGGCCTATATTCTGCTTCTTAAAGTTTCATAACACTTAGCCCTTTTTAATTATAAATTATTAAGTCAATTAACATTTTTTTAATTATGTTAGAAATATATTTCAATGTAATTTTATTACTATATAAGATAACAGTTAGAAATTCTATTTTCTCCATTAATTCTGTTACATAAAAATTATGACAAGAGAATATTTGTAATTTTTCAAAAAGTGTATTTAAAATTGTATTTTTCAAGAGAATATCTGTTAAATCTCAAGAAGTGTATTTATAATTTACTCTCTATATTTAAAAATTTGATGATTGAGAAAAATTTATTTGCATTTTTTAACGATTTAATGAAAGAAAAAAAAATTATTTTAACGATTTATTAGATGTAAGAATTATTAGGTGAGAAAATATTACACTTGTTAGATGTGAATGATAAATGTAAAAACATGACAGCGTTATGTTAAATATTTATACAATAGAATGGATATATTTGTTAGATAATGTCTTAATGGGACCACATAATTAAATGTGATGTTATTATTTATAAGAAGCCTACAATTTAAGTGATTCAATTTAGTTAATAGGCTTAAGGGTATATGTGTTATGGACCTAATGAGTAATTTTATAAGATTTACAAAAAAAATTAACCAAATCAAACTAATAATTAAAGAAATAAAAAACAAAGATAAGACCTTAGAAGAAGAGATTGCAATATTAAATATTAACAAGAGTCTTAATGATTTTCAAAATAATAATGACACACCCTCTGATGATACAAATTCACTTTCTAAACTTAGTAATGTGTAAGTGATATGATTGGTTAATGATTAGGAAAAACAAATATGAAAAAGAGTGTTATCTTATATATCCTAATTAATTACCACATCATTAGGTTTGAAAAGTATAATTTTTGAACTTAGGCCCATTTTGGCAAAAAAAAAAAAAAAAAAGCCACATCTTTTTTCGAATTTTTTTGTCTTTAATGATTTTTTTTTTCAAAATTATGTCAATTTTTTACTTCCGGAAGTAAAAAAATTGACCTAATTTTGGAAAAAAAAATCACTAAAGACAAAAATAAATTAAAAAAGATTGCTTCTTTTCGTTTATTTTTGTCTTTTTTGGATTTTTTTTTAAAAAAATACAATTTTCTGATTCGTCTTGTAGAGCTGAATCTAGAAATCTAAAACTTTATGAAAAATTTTAAAAACAGTTTACTAAAGACAAAAATAAGCACAAAAAAAAAGTCAAAAAAATTTATTCCCAAAACACCCTTTAAATAGCAATGTTAAAAAAAAAGGAATAGGGAGCCACTATTCTCATTTCACTTTGTTCCAAATACACTTCATTCTTTGTTTATTTGGAACAAAGTACAGTGAAAATAATAATTATATATATATATTTAAAATAAAGTAGAGTAAGAATAGCCGCGCCTAAAAAATATCACCCTTTTAGATATGAGGGAATATAAATTTAGACAATAGACTAAGAGTTCATTATTTTAATAGCCACTTTCTCTCTTGTTTTCATATCAAGTAGTCCTATGCAGCAGCCATCACGAAGAAAACTTGGTTCCTCTATCTAACTGCAATGTTCACGGCACAGTACTGTTTCTTAACTTGCTTGGCAATGAATGTTTCTAACTTCACCACCGATCAATCTACTTTTTTAGCCTTCAAAGCCCATATCACTTTTGATCATTCTCGTCACATATTGACAAATAATTGGTCCTCAGCCACCTCAATTTGTGACTGGATTGGTGTGTCTTGCGGCAAAACACCACCATAGAGTGGTGGCCTTGAATCTCCCTGACATGGGTATTGCAGGCATCATCCCAGTGAGATGGCTTGATTGCATGATTGCATCGCCTAAAAGTGGTCACTTCAAAATCAACAACTTCAATGGAAGTGTCCCGGCATGGTTTGGAAACTTACCCAAGCTTCAGTACTTGCTTCTCGCAAACAACAGTTTCAAGGGTTGGGTTCCACCTTCTTTTGGGAAGATATCAGCATTATAGTCTATCAATTTAAGGTACAATTTTCTAGAGGGAAGAGTTCTTGAAGAGATCGGTTATCTTTCTAAACTACAGCAGTTACATATGTGATTTAACCATTTTTCGGGGTCTATACTGCCAACCATCTTCAACATGTCATCACTTCAATGGATTGATTTCACTTCTACTATGATGTCTGGTAGTCTTCCGGATGATATGTATTTTAATTCCCAAACTTGAATTTATCTATCTTTCTTGGAATGAGTTTGATGTCCAAATTCCATCAGCTCTGGGTGAATGCAAAGAGCTCCAAATCATATCATTGTCTATTAATAAATTCTGTGGGATCATACCCAGAGGAATCGGAAATTTGACCATGCTCGTGGAGTTGTATCTTGGAAAGAATAACATCACAGGTATGCAAATCCACCTACTTAATTTTAAAATTAAAGCAAAATTGTACTAAATTTAAAGCAAAGTGGATTGGACCGTGCTGATCCACCACGAGTCTCATTTCGATATTTGAATTGTTCATTTTTGTAGACCACAACGTGTAGATTATCTATGTAAAATATCAAGTCAATCCAATAGTTGTAGGCTATGACATTTATTTGTAAATAAAATGAACGATAAATAATATTTAAAAATTAGATCATTTATTTTTCAGAAAACAAATGTAATAAATTAATGTGCTTTCTATTATCGGATCGACTTGATTTTTTATATGGATATTAACACTTTGTACTCTACAAAATGAGTTGTTTGAATTATAAAGGTGAGATTCGTGGTAGACTCCACAGGCCCAAACAACAAGGTCTAGTCCACTTGTGGACATAATCTTATTTCTTATTTTAAGGGGGTTAATATGTTGTGTGGAAAGCCCCAAGAAAACCCAATCACACTAAGATAGTTGATAGCTTCGAATATGGAGCAGAAGAGCCATATAAATTATGCAAATTCATGAGAGACAAACGATCACAAGATACCAAGATTTATGTGATTCGGCCTAAGCCTATATCTATGGGAAAAGATCAATAGCAAAGAGAGTAATTGACCGTAAGAGCTATAATTGTGATAAAGCAACCTCTCATATCACTCACTTGGCAAACCCAAAAATATATCTTTACCTCCAAAAGACAAATTCTCATAAGGAAACACCAATAAATCTAATTAAACATAACCATAGAACTAAAATAAGGAGAAACATCCTCCAATACCTCCGAAAAGGCCAATGGCATCTTTTCAAAGAGAGATCTCAAGGAACTTCCAATAGCTTAACCAAAGGAATTAAAAATTTTGACTAAATTACTAAGACTTTCCCTCTATTTATAGCTAAAGAATCATTCTTAAAACTAATCCAAAACCAAATAGGTTCCTTACAATTTAATCCAAAACCAACAGTACATCCAAAGGTTTAGGTAGGTCTCTCATTAATCCAAACCAATATGGGAGTCAAAAAAAATAAAAAAAATAAATAAGTTTAACTGACTAAGACTATCCACAAATCCTATTCCAAGTTGGAAATTGAATACCAAATCCAAATTATATTAGAAACGGACATTAAGCCAATAAGAAAACAAATAATACTTGGGAATGGTTCTCAAAAGTATATGTATTGTTACTCTTTAGTCTCTAATTTTTTAATTATTTCACTTTGACCCCTAATGTTGCGTTGTTCAAAATAAAAAATGGAAGGCGACTTATTTTTCGAATTTAACATGAAATCTCAATAAAATTAAAATAACCAAATGTACCATGGTAAAGCTATGCATTTTCTAGCATTTGGTTCCCAAGTTATGCATTTTATTCGTGTGCATAATTGTCAACTAAAGTAAGGCATATCAATTAATTTTAGAAACTGTAGCAGAGATTCGTGTATTTGTCAAAAATCATTAAGAAAGTTTGTGTAATTAGCCTAAAAAAATAAAAATAAATGGTCCACAAATGTTTCGTCAATTTAAATTTTAAAATATTTTTAACTGACTTTTTTATTTTTATTTTGAAATAAAAATAAGTCGATGCGATATTTTACAACCATTGATCGATCATTCAATAAATAACTCTATTTCATTTCATCCATATAATCCAAGGAAAATTCTATTTACACACTATTAATCCTCTCAATACACGCTACTACTTAGTACACACACAGAATAATTATTAGGATCTAAAATATGTTAGTTCATGCCATAACTTTCTATTTCTAACCCTAAGTCAGCACACCACTTAAGTACACACCACATCAACACATCTCACAAATACCAAAAATCTCTATCATCAGTACTAAAGACCTCCATCGTCAACGAAGGGTTTTATTCAACCAGTGCATTGTCATCGTTAAAGATTTCCATCATCGTCATTAGCTCTCCAATGCATTGCTGTCGTTGAAGATCTCTATCATCGCTATCGTCTTGCCAGCGCATTGTCGGCGTTGAAGATCTCAGAAAATCTGTGATTCACACCTTTGATTCTCACATTGATATGTTTTTCCTATATCGATCTACTTTTGATTTGGTTATCAATTCAACTTCCATAGCAATTTCTATTTCGAGTTTGGCTCAACACTAGTTGTCTTAAACCTAATATTATCATACAAAAAAAATAAAAAATAAAATTGAACACATTGAATATGTTCAAAATATTTATGTCGAA